GCTAGGATGGGCTAGAGGACTGAGCTCTGCGGCTAGGGCAGACTTGGGAAACTCCGCCTGCGAAATAGCACATTTGGGAAGTAGCCACTTGGGAAAATAGCCTCGGGAAGTTGCCGCTTGGGAAAATGGCTTTAATTTGGGAAAGTACCTAACATCTCTCATTGATTAGGGAGTGGTTGTGGATGAAAATGGCGGAGTACCTGAGGAGGAAGAGTTAAATAATTTTGATCATTGGGATCAAATATTCAGAAACTTAGATCAGAAAGTAAGTTGGTGCCATACAGGGTGTCACACAGTACACACAGTGACAGTAGAAAGACGAATTAAAGGTCGTATCAGATCTTCGAAATTATTTGCGGCATTCGTTCTTCAGCCTATACTTTTACATTTAAGATTCTTAAAACAATTGCTACAAAATTCTCCAAGTCCTGGCATTTCCAATTTGTTGTCTCCCTATTTTTATAAAGCCAAAATCAAAATTGTCGAATCTCCAGTAGTAGTGAAAGCGCATGAAAAGGCAGACCACATTTTAGATGCCAAGATTATGGTTATTTTGTGATAACTAACTTTATAATTATACTTGTAAGATTAGGATTACAAATGCAATGCAGCAAATTATTTCAAAAATCATGCAAAGGGACCCGCAAGTCCTGTTGTTGAAATCCCTATAAAATTTTACAGACAGTAACTAAAGATATTTTTTCTCAACATACTAAACAAAATGGCTATTTAAAAAATGCATCAACGTTTGATTTCTAAGCATAAAAACATAAATTTGAAAAATTATGAAAATTGTGTGATGTTCATAAATAGATGCAGGTTTTTTACTGTACTATCTGTAGTTTTTTAGATAAAAATTTAATTCAATGCAATCAATGATGCTTGCATTGCCATTTTCAAGATATTATAGATATTATAAAAAGATATTATAGGCTTGTCCTTTGAACAATTTAAACCTTTATATGTTGCTCTGAAGTGCCCATTTGAACATTTTTCTCATTTATCATTTATGAATTGAATAGGACGGAGAACAGGATTGTTTGATTGAAAAATCAATTCTATTGGAATGGATCGACACCCTTAATTTCCAGGTCAAATCAATTAATTCATTATTTGATAAAGAAATAACCAGAAAAATCGAGTTATAACTTTAAAAAGTCAATGAGCATGAGACACAACAATTGTGAAGTGTAATCAGACCCATTTCACTAAATTAGTGATTTAATAAGTGTCTAGTAAAACTATTTGCTTAGTAACAACATCATTTACACTTAATCCTATAAATTTCTAATTTAACAATTTATGCTTAATTCAAGGAATGAGGTTGGAAGTTTAAGTACTGTACTGTACTGTACGGCACAGTACAGTACAGTACAGTACAGTACAGTACGGTACAGTAAAGTACAGTAAAGTACAGTATAGTACAGTACAGTACACAGTACAGTACAGTACAGTACGGTACAGTAAAGTACAGTAAAGTACAGTATGTACAGTACAGTACAGTACAAGTACAGTACAGTACAGTAAACGCACAGTACAGTACAGTACAGTACATGCACAGTACAGTACAGTACAGTACGGTACAGTACAGTACAGTAAACGCACGTACAGTACAGTACAGTACAAGTACAGTACAGTACAGTAAACTACAGTACAGTACTTAAACTAAAGGGACTGTTAACGTAATCTCAAGTGATCCTCTATTGAAATCTGATCACAACGGTACCTTACAAGCTTTGTCTGATCATGTATGAATCAGATAAACATGTTTTTGTTTTAGAAACTGTTTATTTACATTGCATAAATGACTAGCGAATTAATTGTTTCAAAACAAAGGTGAAATTATCAGAATTAAATTTTAATGGAAAAAATTACCTTATTTTCATTATTAGTTATCAGACTAAGGTTTAAAGGGTATCTTTGTGAATCGGGTATTGAGCACTAATAGTGTTGTACTCTTAATTTAGAGAATATTGGCCTGAAAAAAGTGAACAATCCCTTTAAACATTTCCAGGATTCCGTGACACTTGAGACGAAGCATGGTGTGACTCGAGCACAGTTGAAGACCCTAGTCGAGAAATCTGATAAGGATCGGAATGGATTTATAGACAGGTAGGACTTAAAACCAAGATTAAAGGGACTGTAGATGGAATTTTACTTGACCTTCCGTGATGTGTAAAGTGGCATGTCCGTTTCAGAATGGTCGGTACCCTGATTAAATTTTACAGTGAAAAATACTTGCGTAAATTGTCAGAAATAACCAATTTTTTACGCCAGGTTATAGATAAGCTAAAGGTCTAAGGCTACCATTGTGAATTTAGCATGCCCCTCTCTTCTAAACGAGGATTTTTACAAATTATATAAAGTCAGTCGCTTTAAAGAAATATTCTTGGTTTACTTAAAAAAATTCTAAAAACTTTTGAAACTTGAACTAAACTTTTTTTTAAAACTGTCAAAAACTCGTTGTTTTTCTCACATCAATATTGAATTTGTTTTTACTTTTTTTTAATTGAAAATAGACGCTTAAAGAATTATCAATATTTTCAACTTCGAAGAGCATACAATTTTCAAAATTATGATATTCCCAATTTTACTATTTAATTGAGCCCAGGATTTATCGTAGGTTGGAATTTGAGGGATTGATAGAAAAACACAGCCATGAACTTGAAGATATTCAGAGAAGCTACTTACTAACCTATCTTAGGGTGGCTGCTTATGCAGAAGAATACAGGTCATTTTGGGTGGGATATTATTTTTCATCTTTCGTCAAAAAGTATAGAATTTGATGGAAAATTTTCGCACAATGGAAAAAAAATATTTTCTTTAAGGGAGTGACCGGCAATGTTTGGTTGTTGGTCTAATAATGTAGTATTGTAGAGTAATTTTCTAGGATTCATTTAATACCTATCAGAAGTTTTTACGGGCATATTTTTTCAACAAGAGCGCAAATTCAATCTATAAAATCCTCAAAGATTGTCCATTTTAGAGGGATGATTTTGAGAATCGTTTTTAAAAAACTATTTAATGACGACCACGAATAATATGTAACAAAGATTAGACAGTAAACTAATGAGCTGTTTAGGAACAGAATGAGAAAATAAAAATTAACTCTTATCATTAAAATAACTAATTTTATTCAATTATTAGTTTCTTTAATGTCTCATTGACAAACATTTTCTGTAGATTTCCTGCAGATTTCGTTGAAAAGACGACATTTGAAGAATTTAAAGAAATCTGCGATCAAATTTGTAAAATTAAAAT